ATTTTTATTGTTATTTTTATATTATACTACTAATTAAATATTTTTATCAAGCTGAAGCACTAATTGAAAGAAGTATTAAATCTAAATGCCCAGAATGTGATCGGATTTTTGCACACCGAAAAAAAACTCAAATATATGAGACACAATGACGTGTACTTTGTTAAGGAAAAAACTAGACCAGAATAAAAATCATTTGTTATGAGAGAATAATGTCAAACTTTGCACGTAATACTTTTCGAAATATCATATGTAAGTGTCCTTTGTGATTTATGTGACTACTCTGTTTTTTGTCTCTCTGATTTGACTACGACGTTCGACTAATAGGTATAATATTGTTAATGCTTAGGATCAACTTATTTTGATTTTATTTCCGTCGATTGAAACAATAGGAAAATAGATAGTAGTTTCATTTTCAAACGTCCTCGACAGAAGACAGAAATTTTCTTTGTACATTTTCTATTTGATGGATATACTTGTCATAGTATGGATTCCAAATTATGGTATTGTATTCAACAATGGATCTGACTAAAGAGCAGTATAAAACTTTTATAGTAGAAGGGGAAGAATTTGTTGATGACCTCGCAATAAAACCAAGCATTTTGAGAACTCTTTGGGAGACATTGTTCACATGGTTATTAAAAGAAAGCTTGTTGTCTAATAATATTCCCAAATCTTTACGTTCTTGTTTTTTATCTAACATATTATCTTCTAATTGGTAATCAAATCGAATTGCTGATCGAATTTGTGATCTACTAAACACCATTGAGAAACATTTCGTATTATTAAGATAAAGACAATTTGCATAACACCATTCTGCTATATTATTGAGATCTATTTGGAGAAGATTAGCATCATGCATATTTTCCATTACTCTGAAGATCTTCAGATCATCAGCGAAAAGGAGAAAATCAGAATACTGAATTTTAGTCTTAATGTCATTGATGAAAAGGCAAAACAGCAAGGGACCACAATGGGATCCCTGAGGTACTCCTGATTTTACTGCATAAGGTTCAGAGATTATACCATTCAACCTCACTGATTGAAAACGACCTATCAAATAACTGCTTATCAAATCCAACATCCTACCACCTAACCCAATGGCATATAGTTTTTTAATCAATAAATCATTAGAGACCCGATCGAAGGCTTTAGAAAAGTCTGTATAGATAACATCAACCTGTGCAGATCTCTCAAGTGTTTCCGTTATGTAGTGCTGGTAATAAATTAGGTTGGATAATGTAGATCTACCATTTGTGAACCCATGCTGCTCTGGTATAATTAATGATCTACAAATATTAGTTAACACTTTGCCGACTAATCCATCCAAAAGTTTGGGAATAGCTGATTGTACACATATTCCTTGATAGTTGGATATATCCTCTTTCGAGCCACTTTTGAAAATGGGACGTGTATAGCTCTGTTTCCATAAATCAGGAAATATACCACTAACTAGGGATTTGTTGTATAAAAGAAAGCATGAAGGAACTCTGTCTGGGCCACTAGATAATGTAGATTTCATCATACAAATGGCTTCAAAAACACTAGACAGTTCGAAAGCACAAATAGAGAAATTAATTGTATTATCACATTTAAAATCATTTATAAGGGAAGGATCTGATTCTACATAGACTGTCGAGAAAGATTCAGGAAATTAGTTAACTGTGCTATGTATATCTGTAGAAAGATGTTCATTATATGTTATTGAGTTGGGTATATCATTTGAGTTTGTTTTGTCACTTACATACTTCCAAAAATATTTCGGATCATTATTTAGGTTTGACTCGATATTGTTTAAGTAAGCTTCATAGTAGACTTTCGTGAGATATTTATATTGAGATCTTAAATGAGTAAACAACATGTAATCCTCATTGCAGTTGTGAATTTTGAATTGTTTGTGAATGCGTTTCTTCTCAGAGATCATTTGCTTGAATTCAGATGAGAACCACTTAGGGAAATTTGAAGGTTTGTATAATTTTAATGGAACAAATATATCAATTGCTTTTTGTACGATTTCATAAAATATGTAAGTAGCTGCATTGACATCCAAATTTTCAAGAATATCAACCCAGTTAAATGTAGAAAAATAATCATTAATGACTACAAAATTTGCATTTTTAAAATCATAGTAATAGTGACTCAATGGGATTGGCTTGTTACCAGTTTTGAGACAAAATGATACTTCAGTACAATTGTGGGTTCTGTATTCTTGAATCAAATTTTGAATGTTCTTGTTAAATTTGTTAATAGAAGCTTTAGACGTTGGATCTCTGCTCAATATTCATGATACATCTTTCTTTTTTTTAATCAAACTCACAATAAATGAGGGAAGTCCATGTGTACTAAAATTATATTTAGTTTTTGGTGTATATTCTATAATTGTTTCGGACAATTAATTACAAAAGTCTTTTATTTGTTGATGGTTGATTTCATCTTCCAAAGTATCTATGTAACTCATCATGTAGTCATTCACTTTCTCCATATTCGTTTGTTGTAAGTTGAAACGCATGATTTCTTCTGCTTCTGTCTTTTTCTCCATGTCGAAAGATATTTTGAGAGCTAAATGATCAGATTCTAGATCGGGTGTTACCTCTACTTCTATAATATTTGATATAATGTTATTTGTATGTAGTAATACATCTGGAGTTTCACTAGTTCGGACTTCTTTTATATAATAGACAATGGAAGTCCGAACTAGTGAAATTCATCACGAAACATTGTCAATCACCTTCAAACAAACATCTGGAGTTGTGTCGCTGTTGTTTGGCATAATAAATGTTGAAGAAGTTTGGTAAATAGGATACATTCCTAATATACAATAACAAAATTATAATTAACAAATAATTGATTAATATTCCAAAAATCATCACTTATGATCTTATTAGTAATACCTTCAGTTACATTTTTTATAAATATGATGCAGTAGATCAGTTTAAAACCTTTTTAAAGTTTATTTATTTATTAATTTATTTATTTTACGGGATCACCCCCATTTGAGAATAAAATTAACAATTATATAATAAAGTAATATACTACATTACATTAACTTAAGTTATTATAAAATACATATC